ACAGACATTAAGCATCTCCTTATACAAATAATTATTTAATTCATGTATGGTAAGTGTTGCTGATTAAAAAACCCAGATGCTACCAATGCATATGACAAGAGTGCTGATCTTGAGTATGACTGGGGGATAGGTAGAATGGTCAGTGATTAAAGCAGACATCTACAATTTGAGAGAACATGGGGCGTGGGAGGGAAGGTGTACATGTAAAGAAATAGCAGGCATGAAGACTGAGATGGGAAGGAGTTTGTGGTGTATTTGAGGTCTAGAACACAGTGCAGTGAGCAAGAAGGAGACCCATGGTCTGAGCCTGAAGAAGTAGACAGGTGGCAGGTCATGTGGGCCTTGTAGAATATGTTAAGGATTTTAGACTTTGATTTTAAAGCAGTATGATGTTATTGAAAGGTTTAATTCTGTGGAATGACATAATCAGATTTGTACTTTGCTATGTGACAGAAAATGGAGGGAGTTGGGGCTGGGGAGGGTAGGGGAAGAAGATATGTGGGAAGATTATAATTAGACTATTGCAGTGGTATGAGAGACAATAGTGGCTAGATTATGTGGGGGCCATCATGATGGGGAGAAATGGGTAGATTTCAGAGATACTTAGGAGGCAGAAATTAGAGGCTTGGAGGTTAATTGAAAGTGGGGAGTAAGGAAAGGTAGTGATGATTTCCAGGGTTTTAATAAGAGCAGCTTAGTGAATAGGGTTGTCATTTACTGAGCTGGCAGGAGGAGTCTGTTTAGTGGGGGAAGATCATTAACTCAGTTTTGAACTTGTTGATTTTGAGGTGTTTATGAGCTTTCTAAGTGGAGATATTGCCTATGTGGTTGAATATAGACATCTAGAGGACTGGACTGGAGATAACGCCTTTGGAAGTGTCGGCATAAAAATGGCATTTGAAATTATGACTTGGGTGAACATACCTGAAGAATTAGTAGGAACACTAAGAATTTAAGATTAAGTAAAGGGTAAACTCTCAAAGGTGACTGAGAAGGAGGAATTGGAGAGATAAAGAAGAATGAGGAGAACATGATGTCCTGTAAATCAAGGAAAAGGGAAGGGGTGGTTATTTTTGTCAAATCCTGCTGAGAGAATTGGAGGTCCATCTGTCAACACTGGCAGTATTAGTGACACTAACAAGAGTGAATTTGATGGAGTCCTTGGGCATGAAAGTGAGATCAGATTGGGTTGAACGAACAGGGATTGGAAGATGAGGACTGGAAGATGAGGACGTGGTAAGAGTGAACCTAGACAACTGCTGAAGAGTTTGACCTTGATGGGGAGACAAGAAAGAGAGGTCACTAAAGAGCAATGTGGGACTCAGAGACTTTCTTTCATTTCTGTCTCTCTCTGTCTTTTTTTTAGACAGAGGCTTGCTCTGTCGGCTAAGCTGGAATGCATGGCACAATTTCGGCTCACTGCAGCCTCCACCTCCCGGGTTCAATCGGTTCTCCAGCCTCAGCCTCCTGAGTAGCTGGGACTACAGGTGTCCACCACCACACCTGGCTAATTTTTTATTTTTAGTAGAGGTGGGGTTTCACCATGTTGGCCAGACTGGTCTCAAACTCCTGACCTCATGTGATCTACCTGCCTCAGCCTTCCAAGGTGCTGGGATTATAGGCGTGAGCCACCATGCCAGGCCAACTTTCTGTCATTTCTTTCCATTCCCCTGTCCCTCCATTCCTTTGTCCTGCCTTCTCTTCTTTCTTGCCCAAGATGGGAGAGAGCTGGGCATGTTTAAATGTTGATAGTAAGGGTCCTTTAGAGAAGGTGAAGATTCTGTAGGAGGGAGTGGGAAGCAGACAAGGTCAGTTTCCAGAAAAGGCAGGGTAGATGGGATCTAGGGTATCCTCAGAGAGATGGGCCTTGAAAGGGACAGGTGCCTTCCCCACCATAATAGGAGGGTAGAAAGAGAGGTTACATGTAGAGGTAGGCAGGTTAGAGTTTCAGCTCGAAGGCTTCTGTTATCCAGGAGGCTAGATCTTCTCTTGAGAGTAAAGAGTGGGAGAGGGATCAGAGTTTCTGGGAGAGTGGAAAAGTTGTAAAAAGGAGAGAATGAGCAGATAGAAAAGTGAGGGATATGGTTTAGGATTATGGATTTACTGTGGAATTAATCTGTGTTGTTAATTTTTTGCCAGCAACTCCTGACTTCCTGGGTGCAGGCATGATCAAAAGAAATGGCTGGCTTCATGATAGTTAGGGTTCTGCTAAGTGGTTATGATAGATTTGAGTATTAAGAGGTCTAAGTATAAACAAGGACCATTGCTTTTTTGGTCACTTGGCGAGGTGTTGTGAATACCAAGATGTGGCAGTTTCCATTTTAAAGGGACGTCTGTCCAGAAGAGAAACCTAAACGTAATAGGTGGGTATCATGCTTTAAGAAGCCATGCATCAGGGTAATGACGCATGGGTCCCACATTGCTCTTTAGTGACCTCTCTTTCTTATCTCCCCATCAAGGCCAAACTCTTCAGCAGTTGTCTAGGTTCACTCTTCCCACATCCTCATCTTCCGTTCTCTGTTCAACCCACTCTGACCTCACTTTCACACCCAAAGACACCATCAAATTCATTCTTGTTAGTGTCACCAATACTGTCAGTGTTGACAGATGTACCTCCAATTCTTTCAGCAGGATTTGACACAACCACCACTTCCCTTTTCCTTGATTTACAGGACATCGTGCTCTCCTTATTTTTCTTTCTCTCTCCAATTCTTCCTTCTCAGTCACCTTTGATAGTTTACCCTCTACCCAGCTAACAGTACCTATTTCATAGAGTTGTTATGAGGATTAAGTAAGGAAGTGCAGTTGGGACATTTAGAACTGAGAAGTACTAAATAAGTACCTCATCATCGTTTGGATTATTAGTCATTTCCTTTCTGTCCTCACTGCCGTCGTCATCCTTTCATTATACCTGAGCTACAGAAGTAGTGTAATGCAAGTCTCCCTGCCTCCTCACCTTACATATCACGGCCTAAACATATATTCCTGAAACTGCTTTTCATGACACCCTCCTCAAAAATCTTCAAGAATTTCTCACTAACTCTCATGACCCTCAAGGCTTCTCATAACCTTGTTCTAACTTAGCCCTTTAATAGCCCTACTTTCGTAGACTACCGAATACTCCCCGAATACCACATAATCATTATCACTTTCATGCCATGATCATTTAATTCTTCTATTTTCGAATCCTTTTCTCTTCCTCAATATAGGGCTTAGTTCATGTCCTGCTTCCTTCATGAACTCTTTCCTAACTTCTCAAAACTACATTGATATCTTCCTCAACTGAACTATTCCACACACTGAACATCCATACAGGCTTTACTATATTGCTTTTTAAAATGGCCAGTCACCTACTTATGAAGATTCAACTTAAGCAACTAATTACACTTATCCAACTAAACCTACTTAGAGCACTTCATGTTGGCAGCATGGTAGCTAGGTGAAATAGCATATATCATTCACTGTGTACCAGACAATGTGCTGAGTGATTAATGTATGCTATTTCATTTAATACATACAGTAACTGTAGGACCCTTGATTTTGAAACCGAACCTTAGAGAGGTAGGTCAGCTGCCCAAGGTCACTAGCTAGTGACCCAGGCTTGTATTAATACACTATTATTACTTCTACTTAAGAAGAGATAATAGGCCAGGCATGGTGGCTCATGCCTGTAATCCCAGCACTTTGGGAGGCCAAGGCTTGTGGATCACCTGAGGTCAGGAGTTCAAGACCGGTCAGACCAACATGGTGAAACCCCGTCTCTACTAAAAATAAAAATTATCCAGGTGTGGTGGCACGTTGTCTGTAGTCCCAGCTGCTCGGGCGGCTAAGGCAGGAGGATCACTTGAACCCAGGAGGCAGATGGTACAGTGAGCTGAGATTGCACCACTGAACTCCAGCCGGGGTGATAGAGTGAGACTCCATCTCAAAAAAAAAAAGTGATAATAGAAAATTTTCTTCTATGACTGGTATTGCTCAGAAGGTAATTCTAAAAAGGAGTCTTTTAAAATGTTTTGTTCATGGCCAGGTGCAGTGGCTCTAAAAATACAAAAATTAGCTGGGTGTGGTGGCATGCGCCTGTAGTCCCAGATTCTCACTGAGGCACAAGAATCGCTTGAACCTGGGAGGCAACGGCTGCAGTGAGCTGAGATCTTGCCACTGCACTCCAGTCTGGGTAACAGAGTGAGATTCTGTTTCAAATAACAATAATAATAATAGTAATAATAATAATAATAAATAAAATGTTTTGTTCAATTCACTATTTTAAAAGCAAGCACTCATTCAAATGGACCTTTTAATGGTATGACAAAACTAAACTACAAAGAAGATAACCTTCCCAAAATGAACATCAGCAAATATTTTAAAGCAGAGATTCTTCCTTTTCTCCTTTTTTCCATTTCTTCTCCCACATGGCTGATCATTTGCTTCCCAGGAGTTACCACTCTCGTTTATTATTCGTCACACTGTATAACTCCTTGTCTGTGTACCTGCGAGAGGTTCTCAAAGCCCCAGAATCGATGGCATTCTTTTATACTTTTTATATCATCAAAACTTCAGGATTTTTATAGTGCCTAGTAAATAGTAGGAGTTAAATAACTGTGAAAGAATTAAGGGTCAGTAGGACTTAGTTCCTTGCTTGGGGCACAAGGGAAAGAAAATAGATAAGGATCAAATAATTTGGGAACTTGGATTTATTATTTGCATAGCATGAGTTTCTTTCATTATTAAAATGATCTGCAAAAGCGTATTTTTCCGTCTGAGTACAAGCTATTTAGGTACAAAGATTTTCTTCCTTTGCAGGTGAACCTAGTACCAATAAATGTTAGCTGCTAATTACTTTATTATCATTGTTATTATTAATGTTAACATTATCTGATCATATCAAACAAAATGTTACAAAGCTTGTAATAAATGTTATTTTTTGTAAGGTTTTTGCCTCAAGTTGTTTGCAAAGTCTAAAAATACTCAGATTGTATTTTTCTCTCTTGTTTTTGTTATAGAATACTTCAGAGAGTCAGAGTTGTGCCAGAAGTCTCTTAATGGCAGATAGAATGCAAATAGTTGTGATTCTCTCAGAGTTTTTTAATACCACATGGCAGGAGGCAAATTGTGCAAGTAAGTAATTCTTTCATTTTCTTGTTGCAGTTACAGTTCAGTAGTAAAAATGTCAGATTTTATTTTAGTGAATTTTGGGATCTTTGAAGCTGGATAATACTTTTTATTGCTAAGTTTAAATGAACTGTCATGGACACCATAGTTTATTAATGGCAACTGAGCAAATGGTGAAAGGCAGAAAAGTGTAGCAGTTACTACGTGCTTTGGATTTAGACAGACTTGAGTTTGATTCTAAGCTCTACCACTTACCAGCCCTAACCTACTAGCTGTCAGATATGGGAGAAAAACTTTGCCGCTTGGAAGTTCAGTTTCTTCATCTGTAAATTGGTGGTAATGATAGAACCTATCTTATATAGTCACCTTGAGAATTAAATGAAGTAAATTGTGTAAAGCACTTAGCTCAATGCCTGATACATATTTAATGTTCAAGAAATGTTAACTGTTTAGTATAATAATAATTATGATGTTTACAGTAATCTGTCAAGTGGTGTGTGGCAGGGGATGGGGTGGGATGATAACATCTGTTCTACCTTCTTTGCAGGTTTGTGTGTAATTGTGTAATACAGTAAGATCTATTTTTAGATAGTCTTTGGAAAAATTAAAATCACTATTCCAATTCAGATGGTGTTTTGAATACCAGCTATGTGCCAGGCAGTTCTTATTTTTCAAGTCTTTCAATTTAGTGAGTGAGAAAGATATATTTACAAATACAACCTAGGACAGACACATAAATGCTTTAATAAAGTTATAGAGTCCTTGGAGGAAGAAGAATACAAATTTTACTGGGGAGAATATGAAGTGACTTCCTGGAGGAACTACCTTTTGAACCTAGGCCTGTACTATTGGACATTATTTCAATAAGTAGAGATGACGCCAGTGAGGTGGCTCACGCCTGTAATCCCAGCACTTTGGGAAGCCAAGGCAGAATTGCTTGAGCCCAGGAGTTTGAGACCAGCCTGGGGAACATAGTGAGATCCCCGTCTCTACCAAAAAAAAATTTTTTTTAATTAGGTGGGCATGGTGGCGTGTGTCTGTAGTCCTAGCTACTTGGGAGGCCAAGGCAGGAGGATGCCTTGAGCCCAGGAGTTCAAGGGTGCAGTGAGCTATGATTGTGCCACTGCATTCCAGCCTGGGCAACACAGCAAGACCCTGTCTTTAAAAAAAAAAAGTAGAAATGAGAGAAGGACATGGCAGGAGTGGCATGGGCAGAGGCACAGAGGTATAAAAGGGCAACAGATGTTCCAGGAAGCATAGTGGGAGGTAAAGTTGGCAAGGGAAAGTAGGACCTTGACTGATAGAGTAGTTTACTGTTTGGGCCAACATTTTTTATACTGCTTAGAATATCACTATATTATTAAGAAGGAGTTATAGACCAGGCATGGTGGCTCATACCTGTAATCCCAGCAGTTTGGGAGGCCAAGGTGGGAGAATTGTTTGAGCCTAGGAGTTCAAGACCAACTTGGGCAACATGGCAAAACCTTCTCTAAACAAAAAATAAAAAATTAGCTGGATTTGGTGGCGTGTGCCTGTAGTCCCAGCAACTTGGGAGGCTGAGGTGGGAGGATTACTTGAGCCTA